CCAAAAACTGCAAAAGGAAGGAAAGAAAGAAAGGAAGGAAGGAAGGAGGAAGGAAGGAAGGAAGGAAGGAAGGAAGGAAAAAGATTGGCAGTATCAGAAAGAAGTTGACAAGGGCAACAGGGAGATAGTGCTGTGTTAAGGTCAGATCGTCAGAATGGAGACCTGAGGATTTCAATTTGTCAAGACGTCCTTGATTCTATGAGGCCTCACTGTGCTGGGATTCCAGTTCCCCAAATCCCTTGATGCCCCCTGTATATGTTTCTATAACACCTTAATTCAGTCCCTAATGTTGGAGCAGAGGAAAATAGAGCTGACTGCCAGAAAGAAATGTGTGAATTTGTGTGTGTGAGGCATGGTGCAAAACTGTCCTCCCCTCCCCCCTATTGTGTTTCCTTCTGCCTCCAGATCTGGGCATTCAGGAAGCTCCTCTTCTCTGGCCTTCCTCCCAGCTTTTTTGCACTTTCCTCATTATCCCCTGGATCTTGTTATCCTTCTGACCCACCCTCAGGTCCTGGCTCTCTGCCCTCATCACCCATCTCCAGTGGTGGGATGCGGTAGGGCTGGAATATTCAAATTCATCAAAATGAACTTGAGAATATTTTCTGATATTAACTGTACAACTCTAGTGTATATTTATCCTAACAGAGTCTCTGACTTGTCAAAGACTCCCTCCTACCAGCCCGGCTGAATGGGGTGGGTGCATAAATGCCTGCCCCAGAGTCCTTGTCATACTTACACTACCCCTCCCTCCCAGCTAACCTGAATGAACTACTGTTCCCCACAGCACAGGAGCCCTTTGGAGCCCACATACCATACAAGCTCCTATACAAGCTCTGTTCTGTTGACACTGAGTCCCCTAGGAGGTTACCACTGCTCTGGAGGGGAAACCAGACTGCTCACAGTCTTTGCCAGCACCTTCATCCCCATCAGGCATTGGAAACTCTCTGTGCTCAGGGGTAGGCAGTTCCCTACTTGGGAGGGGGCTGCCTGGGCTCTGCCAGTAATGTCTGTATTCTACCAGAATACAGGCTTTTCCCTGGGATCTTCAATTTTCTCAGTAGGCTTAGAATCCTCATTCTTCCCGGGCACCCCCTAAGAGTGCCCTAAGATACTGTATGAAGATCTAGATGTTTCCTGGTGGCACCTGTAGCTCAGTGGGTGAGGTGTCAGCCACATGCATGCACTGACGCTGGCAGGTTCGAACCCTGCCTGGGCCAGCTAAAACAACGACAGGCTCTGTGCTTGTAGCTCAAGCGGCTAAGGTGCCAGCCACATACACCAGAGTTGGTGGGTTCAAATCAAGCCCAGGCCTGCCAAACAACAATGACAACTACAACCGGAAAAATAGCCAGTGTTGTGGCATGTGCCTGTAGTCCCAGCTACTTGGGAGGCTGAGGCAAGAGAATTGCTTAAGCCCAAGAGTTTGAGGTTGCTGTGAGCTGTGATGCTATGGCACTCCTACCCAGAGCGACAGCTTGAGGCTCTGTCTCAAAAAAAAAAAAAAAAGTTTTCACATGTTTGAGACAAAGTGAGAAAAGCAAATATGAGTCTTTCCCAAAACCAAATGCATCCATTTTAAAGGACTGTCCTTGATTCTAAAGCTATCTATTATCCTTTTTACTTGTGTGTTTGTGAGAAAGTGTTATTTCTATTTCTTTTCTTTTTTTTTTTTTGAGACAGAGTCTCACTACGCTGCCCTCAGTAGAGTGCTATGGCGGCATAGCTCACAGCAACCTCAAACTCTTGGGCTCAAGCGATTCTCTTGCCTCAGCCTCTCAAGTAACTGGGACTACAGGCGCCCGCTACAATGCTCCGCTATTTTGTTGTTGTAGCCAAGTTTGAACCCGCCAGCTCCTGAGTATGTGGCCGGTGCCCTACCCGGTGAGCTACAGACACTGAGCCAGAAAGTGTTATTTATTTCATGATGCTATGAAGATGGCAGAAGGCAGTGAGTATTTGTTTGTTTAAGTTTTACTTAACAAAATTAAAACTTGGCAATTCTAGTTTGGGCCCTAAGATTTCTCTTTGGAATTTTGCTGCACTGTGAAATCTGAGAAACCCCAAAGTCTGAGAGTCACTGGGCTGGGGCTTCCTTTCTAGGGTCTCAAAGACTTTCGATTCTGCTAATGTAGCAAGTCAGGAAGAATATCCTCCCCTCCCTAAGAGGGGACTGATGTGGCCATGGAAATCTTTTTGTCCTCAGTCCCCATCAAGAAACCAACCCAAGAGCAGTGGGCTTCAGAGATGTTCCCTGTTTCTGGGGCTAACCATCAGGGTCACTCTGTGAATACTCTTAATTTGGAGTCAGTTGAAACAGAAAACTCAGCACAAACTGGCTTAGACCAAAAAACCTTGTAAGAACCAGCTAACAGGGCAGTGCCTGTGACTCAGTGAATAGGGTGCTGGTCCCACATACCAAGGGTGGTGGGTTCAAACCCGACTCCGGCCAAACTGCAACAAAAAATAGCCGGGCATTGTGGCAGGCGCCTGTAGTCCCAGCTACTTGGGAGGCTGAGGCAAGAGAATTGCCTAAGCTCAAGAGTTGGAGGTTGCTGTGAGCTGTGATGCTATGGCGACAAAATGAGAATCTGTCTCTAAAAAAAAAAAAAAAAGAACCGGCTAACAATTGTTCGTGGGCTCAAGACAAATCCAGGTCACAGGTGGCTAAAAAGTATGGCTCAATTCTAGGTTCAAATGATGCCACCAGGATCCACCTATAGACTCTACTCCCCTCTAGTCATAGCAGCCCCAGGCAGTTCAGGCTCCCATTATCATGCAAATCGGTCCAGCAGGAGGGAGTTCTTTTACGAAAATCCTGGGACAGGTCTTGATGATCTGATTGGACCAATTAAAGTCACATGCTCCCCAGGAAAGGTGGCCTGAGTTAATAATACCTTAGCCCACATCTTGTGTCCTACCCCTGCTGGCTGGAGCCTAAATCACTAGGCTAAAGGTGAATAAATGTAGTATCCCCAAAGCAGGAAACAGTTTCCACAAAAGGATGGGGTGGATGCTGAGAAACAAATATAATTGGTTCTTCCTCCTGATTCTCTCTCAAATCAGGCCCTTTCTCTCTCCCTGGGAAGATGCTATTTTGCAATTCTTGACTGGGCAATTTGAGACCCTCCTTAACCAGTCACTCCCTGGCCTTCCATCCATCCTCCACATGCCTGCCAAGGTATCCTTCTGATGTGATCGTGTTACTTAGGGTGGCTTAAAAAATTGTCTACACACTGTAATCCTAGCATTTTGGGAGGCCAAGGTGGGTGGATTCACTGAGCTCAAGAGTTCGAGACCGGCCTGAGTCAGAGTAAGACCCTGTCTCTAAAAATAGCCAGGAGTTGTGGCAGGCATCTGTAGTCCCAGCTACTCGGGAGGCTGAGGCGAGAGAATCACTTGAGCCCAAGAGTTTGAGGTTGTTGTGAGCTATGACGCCAGATCACTATATCAAGGGCAGGGCGGGGACATGCCTGCCTTTTTTGAGACTGTCTCAAAAAAAAAAGAAAAAAAATTGCAAAGTTCAACTTCTTTTATGTGGTCTAAAAGCCCTTGGCAATTGACCCTAAACCTATCCTTGCAGGCTGATCTAACCATTCCTCCTTTCTTTTCCCTAGTCAATCATACGCGCCCCAAATCTCTTGACACAAATTCTGACCATTCTTCAAGTATGGGTAACACCCCTAGACCCCCGAGCCCCCATTTTGGATCAGATCTGTTCCTGAGAACATCTTCAGGTCTGTAACTTGGATTCCTGAAGAACAGCACGTACATAGTAATAATAATAACAATAATACTATTATAGTTTGTCTGTAGAGATAATAATACAGTGGAACACTAATAATAATGATACTCTTGTTCTGTAATAATAAGTTAAAGAAAACTACTGTGCTCTTTCTTCTAATTCAAATAACATAAAAACAAACTCATACCAAAAGTTTAGATAGCAAATAGAAATTTCAAAAAAGAATATTAAAGGTTAACATTTACCTAATGTTACATCAATATCTTGCTTACTAGAAGGGGATTTTTTTTTTTTTTTTGAGAGAGAGAGGGAGAGAGAGAGACTGACTCTGTTGTCCCAGGCTAGAGTGCTTTGCCGTGACAGCTCACAGCAAACTCAAACTCCTGTA